TCAAAAGAGTATTTATGATTTTTATATATTCTATATATTTATTTATTCCTATTTATATTATATTATAAATTATTTGATAAAAAATTTTAAAAATCATTTTTTATGTATGAAGTATTGTTTATTGATGCACATTACTTAAAATTTAAGATTACAAGTAAATTATGCATAAGTACAACTTWTTAAAGCTCCATATTTGAGTTYGTSYAAYTARYTGTAGATAAACATAATYAAATATTGGATAAAYATCTCATTWTAAATATAAAARATCTAAAATATAATTAGAATAATTATTGAGTTCTAACAGAATACTTTAGTTATTATCTTTATAAAAAATTATATTATTAAACCTAAAGTAAATTTCAATATTACTAAACCTAAATTAAATTATAATTAAAAATTAAATTAAAGAAATTACACCAAAACACAAGAACTTTTAAAAAAGTTAATTTGATACTGATATCGATATTTTTTTCAAATTTTATAATATTTTCAAATTATTATTTTTTTCAAAAATAAAAACATTATTGCTTTCTTCAAACCACATAAAACCGTATTATATCGACATAAAAAAGAAATAAAATGAAATACTAAAATCAAGATGTATCTCGATGCATTGCACAAGTACCATTCTAGTATTCATAAACGTACAAACACCCTAGGAGAATATCAAAAAAATCAAACTTTAATTAACTAATTTTAGTGACGGATATGTAATTAAAATCGTCACTAATTCGTCGTTAATATTATTTAATCAAATTTTTAGTTTTAAAATTATATAAACTTGTGATGGATTTATGACCAAATATTTTTTTTAAATCTAAAAAAGATTAGTCATAAATCCACCGGAAAATAATTAATATTAATTTTTTCATAAATTAGTGGCGGATTTGTGACGTAAGTCATCGAAAGGTCGACTTTTCCCGATCCGCCACTGATTCACCATCAATTTTTGACAGAAAAAAATCGTCAGAAAAAGTTTGAAAAATAATTAATTTTCAATTAATAAAAAAAAATTACTAATTAAACTGAAATGCTTCAACTTAAGTTATTTAAAGTTAGAACATAATTCAAAATAAAATACCATAAATTAAATTATCAATTTTCTTAATATTTTTTTCTATTAAAATGATCACTTATTTTCCAACCACATTTCTCTCTACAATACATTGTGTAATCAATTGTAGGAGTTCAATTTTAAAGCATTTAGGTTGATGCCTTTACTATTGGTAGGAGTAACTTTAATGAAATTAATTACTCCATTTCAGGTACTTCAACCAACATGACAATAATCAGATATCTTATTACAGTAACATAACAAACGCGAGGTTTCATGTTGAAACTTTGCTGGGTCACATTTTTTTAGTCTTGAACTGAAAGTATATATATATATATATATAGTAGTGGATTATGAGTCTATGATTCCGCAAATTTAATCGGTTAAAGATCAGAAAAAAGCGGTTATGAAAAACATGACTGTACGGTATAATACATTAACATTTTGAATTTATGTACATCTTTCTCTCTTTCATACACTATTCACAAGGTGGAGGTCTTCATAGAAATAACCATTTTATGTTTGGGGTAAAGATAAGGTCCGTTTACAGTATATCATCCCTCCTCGAACCGTATCTCTGAGTCAGATATATTACGCTTGCTTGGTTTTGTTTCGTCTATATTAACACAACGTTATTTTTATCAAATGAAAGTGGAGGATGGTGTCTTTTTTTTATCTATCTAATGGAGGTTGCAAACATTGTGGGGTTTCAAGAAAGACAGTGGTGCATGTATATTTAACGTATGAGATAATTCGTTACTGGTTTTTAAGTATGTGTAACAGTACACGAAATCTGCATATGTGCAGTGTTGGAACTACCTATCCTTTCTTGACAATGATGACATGAAGAATTGACAAACATGTAGTAGTGTTTGTCAAGATTTATCGGGAGCGACAACTGAAGTTAATGATTTATCAGTTTTGAACAAGGCATGCATGTCATCTCTTTCGATCGGTGGAACATACATCCCTTTAGACCAAGACACATGGACAGTTCCTACTTTTTTGGTTCGTGTATGGCTTGCAGAGCTTAATTGGATTTTTCAAACAAAAAACCGTTATAAATTAAGACTAGCTCATTTTACTGATTAAATATGCCACATAATACAGGATTCGAAGCCTTATTAACTGTAATCTTATTACAATACTAATATTATATGCTAAACATCTTAAACACAAGTGCAACCAAATCAATATATTAAAAATATTTACACATGCAATTATTATTATTAATAAAAATAATGAGGGTAACATAGTAATTTGGTAAATCACAACCAACAATTATTATTATTTAGAAATGTCACACAATGCTCCCTCCCATGACTCCTTACACCACCACCACTAGTACTACTACCACCCTTATGGTTATAAGTAGTAGTACACATCCTATTGATATTAAAACAAATAAACTCATACATCCTCCTAATTTTTTTTATGACACTTAAACCCTTATCTTCCTAAAAGGCCAAAGACTCACATACCGCTAGGCCAAAAACCCTTTGATGAAATTTTAAATTTTTGTTACTATACATCAAACAAATTCAAGTAAATACGAAATAATTTCGTATTCATAGTGTAGTTATATAAATCATCAGTAATACGTTGAATTTTAGATGATTAAAAAAATATACTGAATATATTTTAAAAAAAGTATAATAATAAAATCAAGAACATGTGACTAATATAATGAACCGTATTCAAATAATTGTAACGTTTTCATTCTTCTGAAAACTGTAAGTACGTGGACTAGTTTACACACGTCAACTAATTCGTTTAACGATCAGTCGACCACTAATTGTCTAAAGTCATTGCAGAAAACCTCAATAGTCACAAGGGTTTCCGGTAGTAACTGAATTTGAACCTGCGAAAGAGGAGATTTTCATTACATATTATCAAGGCTTAACTAGTAAGCCACAATTAAGACGACGATTAATATGAATTAATGTAATGCTTGATTAAATACATTATTGAATTAACATATTATGATTATTAATCAAGCATGCACAAACTCTTTAATAGCAAAACAAAAATATATTGTGAATTAAAATGAATCATGTTAGTATTAAGTAATTAAAATAATTTCCAAATAAAAGAAATTTAATCTCGAAACCATATAAAAAGATAAAAAAAAAAGTTACGACGAATCACGGAAAAATCATTGTACTTTTTTTAAAACGTAACTCTAAGGGAACGTCTAAATCATTGACAAGAGTACGCTATACTTTTGGTCCATATGGCATGATAAGTTTATTGGAGATCACTTATTTGGTTCATTCAATAGAATACTGATCATTATCGTTTTCACTTTTCTTTTAGATCCCGTCACCATTTCTCACGCCATTAACTTATAACTAAAAGCTTATGTATGCATGTGATAACATTTTTCGTAAAATCAACTTACACGATACTTGATTAATACGAAATCTTTTAATGGACCATATGCTGATACGACATCTTTTAAAATTTATTACGTGATTCAAAAATTACTGTTGAAACAATTCGTCCATTTTTTTTAAATAATTTAATTCAAGTTGTTTTAAGTACAAGATAAATTTTTAACTATCTATACTATATTATAAATCATTTGACAAAAACTTTTAAAAACCATTTTTATGCATGAAGTACTGTTTATTGATGCATATTACTTAAAATTCAAGATTACAAGTAAATTATGCGTAAGTACAACTTATTAAAGCTTCATGTTTGAATCCGTGTAACTAACTTCAAATAAACATAATTAAATAGACGATAAATATCTCATTTTAAATATAAAAAATGTAAAATATAGTTAGAATAATCATTGACTTCTAACAAAATACTTGATCATTATCCTTATAAAAAATTATATTATTAAACCAAAAATTAAAAAAAAAGTGAATTAAGAATACACAAAAAATGAGAAATATTAAATAGTTAGTTTAATACTAATATCAATATTCTTTTTCAAATTTTTATAATATCTTTATATTTTATTCAAAATTAAAAACATTATCGTTTTCTCCAAAACACATAAAATCATATTATAATATTGACTGAGACAAAAAAAGAAATAAAACGAAACATTAAAATTGAGATATATCTCGCTACATTGCGTGAGTACCATTTTAGTTTTAATTAAAAGAGATATGCTATATATTTTTTTTTAATTTAAGATTTCTCTATTTTTTTTTTTACCAATAATAGGTGTGACACAACCAAAATTGAAAAAAAAAATAGGCACTTATTTTTTTTTTTAAAGTAGACATCTATTTTAAAATAAACTAAACGATCGTTTACCGATTGTTTACCCAGAAAACGTTTACCAGGTGTTATTTACTTTATCCGGTCAGCATGATAAACACTGATAATCTTACCCATTAAGAGGTATAATAAGGATAAAAAATCTTATCTAGTAAAGGATATAATAAAGATCAAGAATCTTACTTGATAAGTGAGAAAAAGACCCTTATCTGATAACGTAAATGAGATGGTAACTATTAACAAATAGTAAGGGGCCATTTACCAAATGTTTACTCGGGTAAGCAGTTACCAAGTCATATTCTCTTATCGGATGAATATGGCAAGGACCAATTAGCGCTTACCAGGTAAATTATTACATACGATTTCATTTTGGTAGACTAAAATCTTACCCGATTAGTAAAAAATAAAGTTGCATTTTACCGTTAAGCGTTTACCGGGTAAGTGTTTAAGTAAATGGCTCCTTAAGTGTTTATTTTGTAAGTAGATGGTAAAGAATCCTTTTAAGTTACTAAATGATCCAAAATTAATATATATATATATATATATATTATAACTTCTTGTAATAAATATACATATATATTTCTATATATATTAAAGACATCCTTCCCACGTCTCAAAATTATTTTTGCAGATACGAATGTGGTTGGTTTCTTAAAAGAGCTCTGTTTTCTTCATCACCAAGTTACGTAACACCAACTGAAAACCCTAAATACTTGATTCAATCATTGGTTTTTTGGTGGTTTCAATCGATCAAAACCTTCACCATTTGCTTTATTGTGAAGATCAATCTCTATAAATTTCATTCTCAGTTGCAATTTGTCGAAAAGCTCGTTTGAAATGGCGATAGATCTCTACTCTGACAATTCCGGTGGTACGACGACGAGCCCTCGGCTTTCCTTCTCGTATGATCTCTCTCAATCTGATACTGTTCCCGTGGAACAGATTCTACGATCATTTTCGTCATCTAGCGTCGATTTCAATTTCTGTGTTCAGGAAAACTCAGACCTCCACCAGGCTTCCATGGCGGATGAACTTTTCTCCGACGGTAAAATTCTCCCAACGCAAATTAAGTCAACAACTGACAGAGATAAACGCGCAGTGCCAACTCCACCGCGTGCGGAAAACCAAAAGCCACTCTCGATGCCGGTGCCACCGCCGGAAGACGAGGAGTTAAAACAACAAAATTCGAAGTCATTTTGGGGGTTTAAGAGGAGTAGCAGTTGCGGAAGTGGATACGCTCGAAGTTTATGCCCCATTACTCTGCTATCTCGGAGCCATTCAACGGGATCTTCAACTAGTTCTAAACGATCATCGTCTTCAAAAGAGGGATTAAACCAAAAACAACATCGCAACTTTCAAAAACCCTCAGTTTCTCAGAAACCGCCATTGAGGAAATCAGGTTACGGTTATGGAATCAATGCTACCACCGGTACCAACAATGGAATTCGGGTGAATCCGGTTCTGAATTTGGGGTTTGGATCCTTCTTCTCAACAAACAACAAGAATAAAAACAAGAAGTGATACGACGATCAATGAAGATAGAGATTAGAACTTTTGGGATTAATTAATGATTTGATTAGTTGCTGATTAATTAATGATGGAAGGTGTTAGGATTTGGGGTTGAGGGTGGGTGGAGTGGGGTTGATGAAGAGGATAAAACAAGGCACATGCGATTGAAGATTTTGCAAAGATCAGGTAAGATCGCTTTCATGGGGTTGTCCCCATTTCATTCTGCTTTACTTTTTAGGTAACCTTTTCATCATTTAAAACTTCTCAAATTCAATATATATTATATATATTATATATCATTTGTATATTATTTGCTGTCTTTGTTTGTAATCATTAACATGGTGTTTTGAACCATGTATTTTGGGCGATTTGGTGTCGATAAAAATCATAACTTGAATTAGGGTTTTCATGTTAAGATGATCGGAAACGATTTTTTGTTCGTCTTTATGCTTTATCGTTTAGAAATCGTGTTTTATTTTGTATGAGATCATGGATGGACCTATGTATGGCACATGTCACCGTATTATTTCTCTGTCGAATGGTAAAAAAATATTAGGTTTCGTGAACAGTGCAACCGTATTAATTTGTTGTGTGTCACCGTATATATTTTAAAACTACAATGAGAATAAGTTTTATTTGGTAGAGTTAGTTTGCAAGACTTTTATTTCATCCCACACCCACGTTCGAATCATGTTAGTGTCATTTTTTAGTCAAACGGTGCCATCGTTTGAAAAAAATTCCGTATATTTGTTTTTTATAGTTAAACGGTGTCATCGTTTGAAAAAAAATTATATATATATATTTTCTTATGGTCAAATGGTGCCACCGTTTAAAAAAAATTCTGGATCCGTCCCTATATGAGATGGCATTATTTTACTCTGGTGAATATATTTAGGGTTTTCGCTATGATTAATCTTATCAAGGTTTTTATTTATCTTAAAATTTTGTGTCTGAGGTCATTTTGAGATATGATTTAAATGAATTTTTAATTAAATTAATGACCTTCTTGTTAGCTTATAAGTTAAAACCTAGCTTATCAGCTACCAATTAAAAACTAGCTTATTAGCCATTAGTAAGCTAGTTTGCCAAACATAACCTTAATTAAAATATTATTTAAGGTGAACGTGTGTTTCATTATGACTATTGTGATACTAAAAATTAAAATCAATCAAACCATAAGGGTGGTGTCTGATTGGTTTGAGCTTGACTCCAAAGGTCAAAAGTGTCTGGAGGTCCTAGGTTCAAATCCAAGAAGAAACAAAAATCCCCTTGTGACCATGAAGGTTCAAATGCGGTGACTCCGGGCTGCCTGCAAAGCAGGTGGTCGCCCTGGAATTAGTCGGCTCGCATAGCGGGTTGGATATCTAGATTAATAAAAAAAATGAAAATCAAATTATTCGATAATCACCTTTAGCAATTGTTTACCAAATGCTTAATGCTTATCTCGGGGATGAAGTTAGAAATTTTAGTTTTTTTTTAGGAGGGGGGGTGTCTCGTGTTCGGGTCGTACTTTGTCGTAGTATAATTTATCTTAGCTTATATGTAAAAGAGGAAGGACCATTCTCTTTCATTGTTAAAAATAATGAAATCTTAAGAACATGGAAGAATCCAATGTAGAGCATAAAAATTATGGGTCGTGAAAGTGTCACTGTATCAGTTTGTTGTGCGACACCATATATATTTTAAAACTGTAATGAGGACACAATTTTATCGTGATAGAGTTGGTTTGCGAGACTTGTCTTCTACCCGGGTTCAGATCATGTTAGTGTAATTTTCTTAATTTAGCTTTTAAATTTCATATTTATTATGTTTCCGAAAAAAAATTGTAATAAAAAACTTGAACATATGACCTCACATATGAATTAAAGTAATGAACAAACCAACAAACCACTGATGGTTTTGAGAAAAATACCTTTATATTTATCTCTTATAGCAAATGGTGCCACCCATGGTGCTTTCGGACTAATAGGTTTCACGTTACATCAATTCGAACTTGAAAACATGATTTGGCTCGGGATTGCCAATTTTTATTAACGTACGCCGAAAAGCCCTGATAAATGATGATTGAGACGAGATTCTGCATATTTGAAAAAATTTATGAGTCTGTCTCTGCTTAAGAACTTCATCTATCCATGGTACTATGAACTCGTATTTTCACATATTGTTATTAGTACTTAATAATTCAAACAAATTACTATTAACAATTCATATCCATAGGCGTTCCAATTTCTTAGAGGGTGTGTGACACATATACGAATGCTATGGATCGTTGAAACGAATAATAAATAAAATAAAATATAAAAGTTTATATTATATAATATGTTAAAAGTCTTGCAAATTAAAAAAATAAAAATATTTTAAAATAATAAATTAATATATGAAATTTACTTCAACATTAATTATTTTTCTAACACTATTCGAAAGCCAAAACTGAAATTACCAGAGAACGGTTAAATAAGTAATAATCTAAAACATTATATTTAAAAATTAAGATAAGTATAATTGAAACACGTGTATAAAAACAACTTATTATTTATTCCGGTGTGATATCGATAATAAGCACTTTTGAGTGTTTGGATAGGGAGTGTTTGGGATTGTTTTGTTTGAAAATTACGAATAAATATCAAAATAAAATAAATAATTAATAAACAAGTATGAAGGGTGAGTGGTTTGCACTTTGCAGGCTGCAGCTTGGACCAACAGCTGGGAAATTGGGGTTTGGTGTTTAAAAGTCTACTGTGGGGTTATGTTTTATATAAACAAAACACTAAACTTCACTTTTTATGTCTCACGTTTGTCAATTTTAACGGAATGTCGTTTTTTGAAAATTCGGTTTTGGTTTCTCACATTTATCATTTTATAATAGTTTTGGTCCCTCCATCTAAGGGATGTTAACTTTTTCCATAAAGTCCAATCAAATGAGGAGTATTTTAGTCGTTTTAAACATTTTCTTGATGACTAAAATACCCCTCCTTTAATCCAGCGGTGATGGACTTGATAGAAAAATATTTGAAGCGATTAAAATACCCATCATTTAATTGGACTTAACGTAAAAGGTTAATGGTCGTTAGGATGAGAGACCAAAACTGTAATGAAATGACGAAGGTGAGGGATCAAATCCAAGTTTTCAAAGTTTATGGACAGACGCAGGCCCCAAGTCAAATTTAATCATATTTTTGCATTTATTTATTTAGATTTTACGGTTGTGCGTCAATTTTATTTGGTGTAATCTTATTTTATTAATACAATTATAATAATGGTTTTTTATGATATCATGAGTAGTATAAATTATAAGTTATTTATTACTTAAATTAATAATGATATTATTATTGCTAATCATAATATCATCAACAACATAACTACTATACATTTTAATTCAAACTTATTTTAACCGAAAAATCAAATTCCATAAAATATTACAAATCCAACCAAAATAATAAAAAAATGAAATTAAACTCAAAAAATCAAAACCTCAGTTTAAAATTTAAATTTAAATACAAATAATTAAAAATATTTTGAAAACTGAAAATTGATTTCAATAATACTGTCTGCATCCCAGAACTGTAGTTCTTCCTCCTCCTCCTCTATTTCTGGTGATCCTCCCTCCTCCGTTTTCACCATTAATGGCGTTTGCAGCTGCCAAAGAGAATTTCTTCAGTTCATCCATGTTTGCGTAGCTTTTCCTCGCCGTTAACATCCCACCACCCTTCTTCTCGCCTGAAACTGAAGACTTACTCCCCATCAATCTCGCATTGATCTCATACAATCTTGAAGAACTCTTTGCCGGCGGTGTTGCAGACTTCTCCGCCACCGGTGGCAATGCTGGCCTCCTGTTTTCTTTTCTCAACGCAGACGAGAAGTCAGGGACGGATTGAGTCAAAACAGACGACCCTTTTCTCCGGTGAGCCGGAAGTTTGGGTTGAAAATCCGGTGGGGTTGAGTTATTAGCAGAACGGTGGTCTTTAGGTGGTAACGGCGGTGGATTAGCCATGGATTTCAGCCGGAGTTTTGATTCCCGGAGATCGGCGTAAGCTTTGTATCTGGGACCTCTCTCCATGATGAAAACGTCTGTAGTGAGTTGAAAGAAATTGGGGTTTTGGGAGAGGAAGGAAGAGGGGTGATCGGAGATGGTGGTGGCGGAGGGTTTTGCTCCGGCCATTGTTGATCGGAAATTCCAAATTTGGTTTGTTGTTAATGGTTTAGATGTGTTTTTAAAAGAAATTGCTCTCCAACGGTCTAATTTAAGAGGAGATGGGTGGGGAGGGGGGTAAAGTGTACTTTTTGAATTCTTAATTTTGCTTTCCAACGTTCTTATTGAATTTTGGGGTTTTGTGTACCCAATAAAAGAAACCGAAGTGATAAAATTTACAATTTACCTCCTTCCACTTTGCATATTTTCTGGAAATTCATGATATTTCAACAAAACTGATAAAGTGATCCTGCCAACAAAAAAAGACGTGTACATCACATTCTGCTTGATGTGGAAGGAAATGCGAGAATATGAAAACGGTTAAATCATGTAATTTTACATTAATGGTTACAAAAGGTGTACAAGTGGCTGGCCGTGGGACAAAGTCGCGTGAATCATATATGTGATTTTCTACGTGATGTTAATGTAAAATCACATGTGATTCGATTGTTTCCTTATTCTCTTAAATATTTATCGTTCTCGTTTGAACTCGCTATAATTTTAGGTTTATAACTTTAAATGAGGTTTTAATTAAATCTGTGACTTTTTATGATTATGAAGCTATTTTTATTTGACTATCTCAGGAGGTCGTGGATTTAATTAAAATCTCATTTAAGATTATATACCAAAATAGCTCCGCATATCTCTTCGTGGTCTCAACACAAAATATTTAGGTATATAATCTTAAATGAGATTTTAATTAAATTCATGACATTCTGATGGATATAAAGCCACTTTTCTTTTAATAGGTCAAAAGGTCATGAGTTTAAGTTAAAATCACATTTAGGTTGTAGGGTTGGGTTCCAGTAAGAATGATAGTTATGGTGAGAAAGGTAAGAAGAGATCTCCATCATTGGATCAATCCTAATTGAAGATAAAAAATAATAAGATGCACCGAGATGCAACAAATCAATTCCCATGAGAAACACAATTCATGAGGTGGGCTGGTGGGGTGAGATTAAAAGTGATCAATCTTATGCTTCTCATCTTAACTCTTATTCTCGCACGATCCTTTATCTTAAATGACCAGTCTTTTGTACATTTTTTATAGGAAAAGATTTGTAATCATATGTAACCAAGGTTCTCAATGACATAAGACATGACGTTGCGATAAGTTCAAGTCTCAAGTTTCTCAAGTCTTAGGAGTCACGGCAATCCACAACGTTTATAAGGCGTAACTTATGACGACAGATCTATATATCATATATATAATTTATAACACATCATTTGACCAAGTATCGCTCTTTCACCGGTCTTTTGTACATTTCTTTTAATCCCGTTCAAAGATATATACACCGACGATAACTTTTCTTGATTAAAAGAAAAGAGAAAAAAGTAGGAGGGCTGTTTTGGGCATTCTTGAAAGTACAAGGACTAAGTCCTGCATATATGGCATTGGATCCAATACCAATTACCATTACCTTTAATTATTCACTATTATTATTGTTGTTGGGGAAAAACAACATAAAACAAGTGAAAAACTCAAAACCATGATGTATAACTACACATGTCAACAAGAGTGATGTCTGATTGGTTTAAGCTTTGACTCCAAAGGTTAAAAGTATCAGGATATCTCAGGTTCAAATCCAAGGAGAAATAAAAATCCCCTTGTGGCCACGGAGGTTCAAATGCGGTAACTCCGGATTATCTGCAAAGCTGGTAGTCGCTCTAGGATTAGTCGGCTCGCATAGCGGGTTGGATATCCAGGTTAATAAAAAAAAATTGTACATGTCTAGTTATCTCATGGATTTTCCCTTTTCCTAAAGTGATAATTAAAAATCTAAAACAAAAAAAATATCGATAACGAGCATCTAAGAGATTTCACATGTAAATAAATGCCGAGACAAGACCTCCTATCCATCCATAACGTAACCAACCCAAACAAACGCAGCAATGGTAAGGTCCAGAGGTTAGATGTATACATACCCGTTTTTGTGAAAACCGTTGGCTTGAAAAAGAAAAACGTATCCGGTGATCATAGGGTGGCGATTTATCCATATCATGCTAAAGAAATATGGACAAAAAAGAACTCGAAGTTTAAAAATGATGAATGCATCTAAAAACAAGATTACTTTAACGGCATACATGAGTAATCGTATAATACAATCACCAAAATTCAACAAGAATTGTACCTACAAGTAGCGCGGCTCGATTGCTGACCACAGGTCACCCTTTGGATTTATCGATATATGTAATGGGTTTGTGCTCAAACTTTGTGATATTTATACTTCTGCCCTAAATTAAACCTTGTGATCCTATCGTCAAACCCGTTCAATACCAAGCTCCTCACTGCATCTACTCCTTGTTCAAGGGCTGCATCTATCTGCAAAATTAGTTAATGTTACAAGTTTCATCATTGTTAAGGGTATGGAATCATGGGGAACCAGCATTCTCCCAGAAGGTAGGTGTCATTGTGAAGTTTATTAGACACTACACCAAACCAAATCAAACAAACCCAATATATCCCACCCGTAAGTGGGGCTGACGGGATGTAGGCAGACCCAGGGGAGTTTTCAGTAATAGCCTACGAGGTACCCATGCCCGCCGCTCTATCATCCCGACACAATGGAAAAAAGATGAGGGGCCTTGAAGGAGCACCCGCTTTAATTTGATGTGTGCTTCCCTTAGTTCACAAAAGGTGTCTGCAATAGTGTCATTGCATGTGGGATTACGTGTCGCAAGTTCGAACCGTTTTGACTTTTTTTAGTTGTTCGGTAACAAGAAGAAGAAAAAAAGAAAAAAACCACTTGTATGTTATTTTTAATTAACCATGCTTTATATAACTAATTTTTGTTTTATTTTATATTATATTAACTATTTTGTGCCCCTATCTAAATCAGCGTTCGGGCAGACCTCACCTCTACTCCAAAGAATAGAGCGGCTGTTTTAGTGAAGACTTTTACTTGACACCTAAATAACTAATTTCCAAGACAGACTCCTTCCAGTTGTAATCCTCTCTAAGTGGGCAAAGGTGTGGGGTTCAAGCTCGACCAGTACCACCTAGGGGCAGGCCGGAGATCATTTAACCTTAACTCGATGGTATCCATTGAAGATGAAAATTTGTGTGTGATGTGACCTATCTAATGTTCGGCATGTTTTTGAATAAAAGGTAAGATGGTTCAACTTCATTACACAAAGTCTCCACAGAAATTATATCTAGACTTTCATAAACCAATCTTGAAGAGAAGTTGGTATGTAACAATGAAATATGAATAAATTTCAAAGAACTGCACTATTTGTTTCACCTCTTTTCGTTCTACATCACTGAATTTCTGCAAAAGGAAGGCCTTCATGTCCATGGTACCTGGTGGATTCCCAATGCCTACAACAACAGAAGTGAAGAACATATAATTAGACTAGAAATTCACTCTCCAACCCCCTTTGGTGTCCAGTGTCCACTTCTTTCCAATAGTCAATCCTTTGTTTAAATGTTATATTTGCTCAGTTACTTCAGAATGTGGGTTCCAAGTTAGATGAGGACACAAATGCAAAATTTTCCGAGCAGGGCACAAGAAAATAACATACTATAAATAAAACAAAATTTAATTGTAAAAGGTGCGGTTTAATAAAAAATGACATACAACATGGTTTTTTGCAAAACCCAAGTGATTTTTTAATTCTTGTTTTCCCTCTCTTCTGCTGTTGGTTACCAAAAAATTAAACAAGAGCTAAAGGGAATTGAACTTGCAACATATAATGTTTCATGCAATGACATTACTAGTGGGCTGCAGCCGCTATTTGTTAAATTAGGGGAGCGCACATCAAATTATAGCGGCTGCACCTTTAAGACCCCTAAATTTTGTTCCATTGCATTGGGACGATAGAGTGGGGGCACGGGAACCCCCCTAGCCCATGAGTAAAATCCCCCACTATACAAATGGGAGGAGGGGTGGGGGATGGAATTTAAACGCGATGAAGTGATTTACATGAAGTTACCTATACAGAACCTTGGGAATTCACGGCAACCATCCAAATGTTCGATCACACTCTTCACTCTGCATAAGAAAAGAATGACGTTGGTAATCTTTTCAGGTAAAAGTAATTTTTGTTGTCGCTTATCATCAATAAAGTTTAGCTCTTCAAGAATGGTCGATGAATGTACCCATTATGATACCCATGTCCTCCCTTGGGTTGAAGCCTCAAAACGCCATTTGGTAAGCTCATCTCATCATATAACTAAATAGAAGACTTGAAAAGTTACATAAGATATTTCTAAAATGTCTGTTTTTCCATCAACTGCAATGTTCTACTTTATTGGAGAAAAGAAATACCAGTAGGACATGTCGCAATGGTACTTGATAATATGCAGCAAGGGGCCCAACCTTATTGAATAAGATAACAAGATAGAGATTAGAGGTTTCAGTAAATAGTTAAACCACCATATACCACTTGAAAATGAAAAACGGGAGAAACAGAAATGCATTATTACTAACAGAAGCATGTAAAAGAAACATATACAGGATCCTTTTGGCTTTCTGAAGGGAATAGCTTAAAAGCCATGCTGGATAACAAGTAGTAGGCACTTGTAGTTGTCACACCGAACATGATTTAATAAGTACGATTATTTCCATGCTAAAGTGGTAATGCAAACAAAAAGGGAATGAAAGGGGCCATGTTTTGATATATAGATTCTTCAAGTGTATAAATGGTGTGTGGAAACTAATGGATGTATAGAGTTAAAATGAATATGATGAGTGAAAACCAACCGATTCTCCACTGAAATTCATATACCCCTGAGGCTTTGCTAACAGAACGGGTACCTCCCCAATAGAACCTGTACTGATTGCAGAAAAGAAGGTTTAGTGAATATTTTGTGTCAAGTTATCAGCAAAGTAAATTTCCCGTTTCAAGAATCTGAGATGCATCTTGTTCCCTCCATTATCTACCATCTCATTGTTTGGTTCATTCCAAATTATTTAGGCTAGAATAAAAACATGAATTTAAGAAACAAGTGCTTTACCGGGGTAGAGATAGGAAACCATGAGCTTGGTAAATAAATTGATCATTTGACTGGAATACAAGTGTCTTGAATTTTAGTACATTCTTAAAAATGACGGTTCTTAGAGATATGTGGTTGTGTACGTTGAATCATCTTCAGAACTTTCAATTATCATGTAGATGATTCGATAGTGCAAGATCAATATGGGAATATTTTGAGAACTTGTTATATAAATGATTAATTTTTATGAGGTCAAATTATGCTATGTAAATATGCATTTATGCAGCAAATAGAAGGCATAAAGAGGATAACAGTTGCATAACAGTCATTAACATGGAAATTACTGTCATACCAATCCATTGAAATACAGAGGCCTTGGTCCTGTTGACTACACATCTTTCACAGAAAAAAGTCCCATTTACTTTGATGATTCTAGAGGCTTACTCAGTAGATGATCAAAGTATAGAACCTTCTATAAGCATGTCTTCTAGTAAGTTTTAATTATTGTTGAACATATATTCAACAAGAGATAGATATTGTTGTTTAGTTTATTAATACTAACAGTATATAGCTACAGAAAATGAAAATTCTTCAAATTTAAGCAATTTAAGCAAAATGGTGTTCTAAAACAGGAAACTGTATTAAAACAACCCTAAGCTTCCAAATCGAAGTAACGGATAAATCAGCTTGTATACCTATTCCGATCAAAGCCTTTGACTGTATGGTGTTCATCACAATCCTTTCTTCTTGAGAGATACGATCAACCATTTCAAAACCAACCTAATAATAAGTTCAGCAAACACCCAATCATTCTAAAGTTAACCATATCAACAAAACCCTAAACCCTAAATCCTAATAATCAGCAAAATATACGAACAGAATTCACAAACCAAAGAATGAGTCACAAATAATCTTACGTTGTGGCGAGTTCCATGATACTTGTTCCCAGGATTCCCCAAACCAACAATTAGCCATGGAGTATACTCCACTTTAACCCCATTAGGTTCACGCAACGTAGCTGATACCCGAAGCCCAATCCTTTTCAAATTTGAAGGATTTTGGGATTGCGAAGTGCTTTTTGGATAAGCTATGCAAGGTTTAGAGATTGATACGGTATACAACATTGACCTACTTTCAAAAATGTAAGAATTAGAGTCAAAATCAAGAATTGTGTAGTAATTATCGCATCTAGAGAATCATAAATCCGAAAAGACGCATTCATAATACCTGGTTCACAAATCAACAATAAAGCAGACGAGCTTCTGTCTCCGGCTCGACGCTTCAATCTCCGGCTCGCCGGAGTCGGTAGAGTTCAGACGAGTATATGAAATACAACACACGAATTCACTCGCTTGAAATCTTTTGCTCGAATTCCTGGATAAACCTCGTGGTTCTTCCATAGATCGATTTAGGAGGCTTTTGTGTTGGGGGGTTAATTTGACAATTTGTGCAAATATTTCCCCTGTACTTTGACTTATATTATAAATCACCCCCTACACAATCATATATTTAAAATTTCTCCTTACTTATTAAATTTTTTTTTAAAGCATATAATATTTATATACGGAAAATGCAACAAATAAACTCAAATACTCTTCTCATCTTTGGTGGGGTTTAAACTTTTGATCTCCTAGGAGGCCAAAGACTACGACACCGATACGTCAAAGGTCCTTTGATAAAAAAAATGAACTTTATTGATGCATATCATAGTGATTCATTTTTGTTTTTTTTATTAATCTGGATATCCAACCCGCTATGCGAGCCAACTAATCCCAAGGCGACCACCTGCTTTGCAGAGAGCCCGAAGTCACCGTATTTGAACCTCCGTGACCATAAGGGGATTTTTATTCCTCATAGAATTTGAACCTGAGACCTCCAGGTACTTTTGACCTTTGGAGCCAAGCTTAAACCAACCAGACACCACCCTTGTGGTTAACTTCATTTTTGTTGGTCGCATATAATTTTTAATGTGATATATAAATCCAAATATATTAAAAAAAAAAACTAATAGAATAATATTTAAGCTGTTAATTGAGGTAAAAATTAAGATTTTTATACATGAACTCAAACATGGACAAATTTATTAAGCCTTTAACAGGGTCTTATACACTCGTTCAACTTATTTTGATTTTTTAGATATGAAAGGTGTATCCGCTAAATTTTGAGAGGTGCTCCAGGATATTAGAATATACAATAACCATCAATCAAAAAATTGAAAAACAGTTCCTCAAAATCAACCAAAAAAATTAAAAATCCCTTGAAATTGTTGAATTCGGTTAAAAACACATTGGATGACTTTGCACCTTAAAAGTGCAACCGCTCGACAAAATCCCGAGTCTGCACTACACCAGTTTGATTAAGTAGCATCTCAAATAGAATTTAATTATAGTACAAATCATAGCTTTTGATAGGATTTATAGCCTTTAATATATTGAATCAAATTTCTAATTTGATGGCTATACTTTTGAACTTCTCATAAAAAACGGTGTTTCTAGATACCCAATAAATACTATTACAACAAATCTGATATATAGAGAAAATTAGAAAATGATCAAAATATTTTAAGAAACGTGAGAATAATTTAGGAGGTGTTTGGTTAGAGGCAATGAAAATGAAAATAAAAGAAACTGTTTAATTTTATATAATATAATGAGTCAATTTCCCAGCAAGTCTAAATTTTTATTCTAGGTTAAACTCGGGGTATGAAAATAAATTCTCATTTTCATTTTTCACTTTAACGATATGGATTAAAGTGGTCCTGAAATTTACTCCTAACCGCGTTAGAAACTGATTTCATAACCCCGTAGAAATTTTAAAATACACAAATAAGTGGTCAACATTTGTTTTTTCATGGATGGGACCAATCTAGACCATAAATATCTTACAAATATTTAGAGCGGAAGACTTAAACATGTGATTAAGCGCCTAACAAATTAAAAGACCTAAATGATCCAAACCGACCACTACTGAGTCCATTATGTATGAAATACTGAAAACGAATAGCTAATATCATACCAACTAACTTCGAGTGAGTGATTCACACTTGACATTCCCCTTGTTGGTGCTCGCTTTCTCAAATCCCAAGATACGTGATCATGTTAGCTATTGCTAAGTAGGCACATGGCTTTTGTATACACAAATGCTACCTCTATAACTGTAACATTTAATCTGTACGAGCAAATACTGTAATTAACGCACATAAACTCTGCACGTCTTGCAAGCATGCAAAATAAAACACATGATATATCAACTAAACTGTCGTAGTGTGGGAGGGTTGATTGTCTCACCTGACTTAACCATGTACAGTGACCATAATATGTACTAGTTATAAATAACTCTTCTGGACGAACCATGTACAGAAACACCCTCACGATACATGTACCTTCTTCCTGAACGAACCATGTACAATTACACCATCGCGGTACGTGTACCTTCCTTGATGAACCATGTACAAAGGCACCTTCGCGGTACCTGTACATTTTACAACCCCACACTTCATAGTCGTCTCGACATGAGTAGCTCAACATGTTTGACTCAATATTATTCATTCTGGTCCAACTAAATTTATAATATTTATTTGTTTGTTTATTTCCAAGGATAATTGCATTTATTTATTTGATCATTGTCTTGCTCTTATCGGGTAAGATTTTTGGTTTATACCATATTCATCCGGTGAGGTAATGTGACTTGATAAGCGCTTACCCGAGTAAGCGTTTGGTAAACGGCTCATTAATCTCGGAAGAAAAAGAAAAGTGATTGTACACACAAAAATAAATGGTTGTACTATTAAGTAACTAAAAAAAATTATACTACGTCGAACCAACCCAGTGGTATCATGAGATACCGTTCTCATAAGGGTGCATCTGCCCCCATTTGTAGGGTTTATAACTTTTGTATGGTTAGGTGAGAGTCCCTTGTGTCATGGTCTAACTTGTCGGTGCGAGTCCCACATCAGTTACGTGTATATATTTTTTCCTTTTATATTTTGTCAGATATTTCATTCTCTTTTATTAAAAAAAAAAAACCTTTGTATGATTTGTATGTTATGACGCTAATCTTTATAAAACACGTTTATTTGTATATTAACATTTAATTCTCGCAATCTGTTACAAAAAAACTCCTATGAACACAACATAATGTCATAGACTTGTCTTCACAAGCGTGCGTACGACCTTAATTCTTGGGCTAAGTCAATCAAACTACAAGAATACCGAACAATGATGAACAAACAAGAATGCTAACAGTATTGGGATCGAGAACTCTGTGTTTCTATTACGCAAGTTGTTGTGAAATGCATGTAGCACGTGCTGCTAGATATTTACAAGGAAGGTTTCAGTTACAAAAGCTCTTGAAAGGTATCAGTCATTCTACAAAATGTTTTGACCCTCTTGATCCTTCTTCAAGATTCCTCCATTCTCTTGATTTATCCAGAATGTTCTAGATTTTCGTAAAACCTCCTAGCAGGATGTGACAATAAGCTCTTAGTACTACATGTCGTTTATTAAATATAGAATTTGAATTTAGTGACGTAAATTTGTTGATTGATCACTTGTGGTATAGACTCTAGCGTTAAGTATTGTACCCTCTCCTAAAGGTAATTAAGGCATATTGACAATGTTTCTTGTTTTTGTTGAAAAACGGTCCGTTTTGTAGTGAGTAACAATGCAATGAATTGCAAAAAGAACTTTGGTTCAATTGTAAATCGTTAAAACTGTCAATTAACGAATAGCGTTGAAATTGGGTTATGCCTAAATCAACCCAACGCAGCCCATCGACTCACTGCAAATATATAATTTAATTAATGATTTTACATATTAATTCATAATATATAAATATATTTATATATAAACAAGCGTAAATGAATATAAACGAACGAACATTAACGAATATAAATGAAAGAACATTCAAGAAGGTAAATGAACAAATGTTCTTGAACGTCAATGAATAAATGAGACCATTGTTCATGTTCGCTCATTTAACTAAAAGAACAAAAGAAATATATCCATGTTCGTTCATTTATTAAATAAATGAACATAAACAGACTTCTCGCTGAACGATTCGCTGAAAGTTCAGTTCATTTACAGCCTTAAGTGGAATGTTCACACCGGAGAGGAGAGGGGAGAGGAGCTAGAGATAAGATTTCTAAAATGCCCTTTAACTAAAATTTTAAGTCAGAATTATCAAAATTTTTAATTTCCTAACTTATCATTTGATTTGTGACTGAAACAGAATCTAGATGGTTATTAATTATTACATATATATTGATATTTAACTTTATATAAATATATATATATATATATATATATATACACACAAATGTCAGGTAAATAGGTGATAGATAAGTAGATAAACAGATAAAGTTTTGTTTATTCATACCCTTATTCAAGGGGTTGAAACATAACAGATTAGAGGTCCACCCTTACCTATTGTCAGCCTTAACCACTAGAGGGTTTATTTGACTGTTAACTTCCTAACTCTGTGATTAGTTAAAGGTACGTACAATCGTAGGCGCAATTACCTAACGTATTTATTAAGAGGTTATAGAAGATATATAATTTAGTTACTTGAAAAATGGTCCTTATAAATAAAAGTAGTTCATTCTGAAATCCTCAAGCCTCCTTTTTATTCTCCTCTTTTCCGATCAAACTCTCCAAACTCTGTCAAGGTCTTGCCGGAATCCACCGTCAGGAGTCATCTCCACCACCTAAGTACTCGCGGTTGGCATTTTTCCGATGGACCAAACGTATTTGCAAATGTTTGTGGAAGAGACGTCATTCAGCAACTGAAGGGTGCTTGGGACAATGTTGCCAACGAGTGTCTGGGAGCCGCTACCACATTTTTTCCAGAGTTGGCTTAGAAATTACATTGCCGGAACCTTGATTTATTTCGTCACAAGTTTCCTTTGGTGTTTCTATATATACTACTACAAGTTCAACGTGTATGTTCTTAAAGGTATGTTTAATTTTTTAACTAAAACAAAATTATTATATATTTATTGTGGAAACATATCGATTACACCATTTTCTCCAAATTTAATCAAACTACTAACGTTTTAACTAAAAGTATTACTGGTTTGTAGATGCAATTCCTTCGAGAAAAACAATGTGTATGCAAATGTATGTTTCAATGAAAGCCATGCCATGGTATTGTGCTCTTCCTACGATCTCTGAGTACATGATCGAGAACGGCTGGACGAGGTGTTTTCTTAGAATAAGTGATGTCGGATGGGTTTCATACGCTTGGAATGTCGCTCTTTATTTAGCATTCGTAGAGTTCGGTATTTACTGGGTGCACAAAAAGTGCCATGACATCAGGCCTCTTTACAAATACATTCACGCAAGTCATCATATCTACAATAAGCAAAATATGCTTTCCCCTTTTGCTGGTTAATTCTGCTGTTATCTT